GTGTGTGTGTGTGTGTGTGTGTGTGTGTGTGTGTGTGTGTGTGTGTGAGAGAGAGAGAGAGAGAGAGAGAGAGAGAGAGATAGAGAGAGAGAGAGAGAGAGAGGGAGAGAGATTCCATTTATATCAAGTTCAATAACAGGCAAAATGAAGCTATACTTTTAGGGAAGCATACTCAGATGTTAGAGTATGAAGCAGAACAAGGAAGTGTTAACCATCAAATTCTGATTACTGGTGGAGGTGGGGAGTTGTTACTGGAAAAATGCACATGGGGATTTTGGGGATGATGGCAATGTCTCAGGAAACTCAGTTTTGTAAAACTCAAGCTTATTTTTTTAACCTGGTATAATGTATTTGATTTTTTTGTCTTTAATAACACTTAGTCTTAGTACTCACTGTATGAAAGAGCCAGGCTATGTGCTTTCCATGGATTATTTCATTTAACTCTCACTAGAACATGCTAATAGAGGCACTATTAGTATGCCCATTTTATAGATGAGGAAACTGAGGCATAGCCTTTACTAATCTGTCCAAATCCACATAGTTAGGTAGCAGAGCTGGTATTTGATTCATCGGGCCCCAGTGTCAGGTGCTTAAGTACTCTGCTAATGCTAGCCAACAGAAATTTTGTGGGTGAGTCTAATTATAGACCCCTTTATTATCATTATTTCATAGTTATAGTTATGAAAACCATATTAATAAGAGAAAAAATCTGGTTGCAAAACTATACACACACAGAACTATGATTACATCTATGTTAAATATATATATGCATAAGTATAAAAAGACCAAAATATAAAACACTAAGTTAGGATGATGAAAATATAGGTGCTTTTTACCCCTCTTTTTTGTTTTCCAAATTTATTGTAAAGTAGCCATATTAAATTTATAATGGGAAAATGTGCTCTAAAATAAACTTCCCATTTACCTGAAACATAAAATTTCTTTCTACACTCTCCTTTCCTGCAGCTTTGTATAATCTTTTAGAAGCCTCTTCTGTTCAATGAGTAACTTCATTACTAAATTGATGGCACCGGATCATTCTAGCTATGCAAATCACAGACCCACAGCCAGCTCAGGAAAAAGATTACATTAAAAATTAAAGCAACGTGTGGAGATGTGGAGATAATGTGCTTACAATTATTTCTACATATTTAATATTTATGTAGTTACAAAGCCAGTCATGACAAATCTTAAATATTGAGTCATATTCCTTTTGCGCTCTAATATTTTTGACCTTGAACTGAGACTGCCAAATAATATATAAAAAATGGCTGTGGGAGAAGCATTTCTTTTGGCCTATAAATGATAAATGCTTTTTTCTTAGAAAGTGATCTCATTTCTTCCTAGCCTTTGTTTATTTTCAATGCCTTGTATTTTTTTTTACACTGTTGCATTCTGATCACCCTTGAAAGCGCTGGGCTTTCGGTCTTCCACAGTTTGGTTGTATCGTTTTCTGGTAGTGCTGCTGCTGCTGTGATGTGTTTTCTGTCAGAGGAAATTTACAGGCACATTAGCCTACTTGACAGGCACAACAAGCCACAGGCTCTCCTAAGGAGAAACAACCACGTGCTGTGGTGAGGTTTTCTGTGTCTCTCCATCTCACCTTCCCTCTTAAACCTTAGCACCCCACCATGATTCAGATACAAGTCCCCACCACTTTTGCTTGTAGGTATCGCCTTGGGTCCCGGATTTAACTCTCTGGTTCCTGGTGACAGCAGTACATTGGGTCCTGCAGTAATTAATTCATATTTTGGCAACAATCTGACTATAGCAGTTTGTGGATAAAGCCCATGTCTTCACTTAGAGCCATATAGACACCAAGTAAGGAACTGGTGGGAACTTTTCTGTTCCTGTGATGAGTCATTGACACAAAGGGTAAAGTAGCATCCAAAAACTATACAAAGGAAAAGCACTATCATTACATTTTATGGAAGGCGTTTAGAGAGAAAATTCTCAAACACTCAATTTACTTTTCTCCATGTGCCATAGAAAAATGGTCAACAAAAATCAATGACTTACTAAAAATTCAAAAACATAAAATGAGACATAAATGAAAGGGTAAACTGTTGCCTTGGCAGATTCCAAATAAATTAGAGTACTACCCTACAGCCGCTGGGGAGCCAAAGGCCTGTGCATTTTAAGTTTAATATAGATTATGTTGCCCCTGAGGGAGTAAATCTGCTAAGATATAGCAGTTCTGGTACATTCGGACCCTGACTTCATGCCAAGCCATCTCTTCAATTTATGATCTTCCAGACCTTTTAAATAATTTTTGAAGGGTGATTTTATTTTGAGAATATTCCCTTTATCCTTGGTATATTTGACCATACACATGTAACTATGTAACCTACAGAAATTACTAGAATAGTCCAAAATCATATGTAAGTTTCTTGCTTGATTCTCTGTCAAGAAGCAGACATATTTACCAAGCCAATCCATAGCGTTGGTCTGAGCTGCTCTATTTATTGAATGAGTAAATACATAAATGAACTTTGCATTATCTGGAAACCAGGAATAGGTGGTTTCCTGGTAGATTTATTTTTTAGAGAATTAACTAGGAACATTGTTAGTTTGTCCCTGTCCTAAGCATTTCAGGCTTCTGTAAAAATATAGACTAGGCAGCTTACAAACAGCAGAAATCTATTGCTCACAAATTTGGAGGTTGGAAATCTGAGATCAGGGTGCCAGCACGGTCGGGCGAGGGCCCTTTTCCAGGATGCAGGCTTCTCATTGAGTCTCTAAGTGGCCGAAGGGGCTAGGGAGCTCTGTGGACTCTCTTTCTTCATAAGAGCACTAATCCCATGCATGAGGGCTCTACCCTCATGACCCAAGCACCTCCCAATGGCCCTACCTCCTATACCATCAACTTTGGGGGGTTAGGATTTCAAAATATAAATTTTGTTGAAAATGAAATAGTCAGGCCATTGCAGGCCCCCTTTCCTTTTTTCTCTTTCTTGGGGCCATGCTCTCCCAAAGGTTTCAGTATAGCCAGCTGCAGCT